GCTGCTGTCACCTGTCCCGTGAGCACTCCGACCCACGGCGAGCGTTACCCTGCGACCCCTGGAGTTCTGCAGGGTGCTGGGACCAGCCCAGGCCGTTCGCAGAAATGCTGCGGGTACATTTGCTTCAATCCATTATTTTTATTTGAAGAAACAACAAAGTCCCTTGCAATAACCCCATTGTTACTATGCCTACATAGTTTTTGAAGTAACTATCACCACACCTACAGTTCTCTCAATTAAGATTATTTGGTCGGTGCAGAAGAGGAACTGTGTGTGTGCACGGACAAAATGCCCTCAGTTACCTCTTCGGACCCTGTGCAGCAACGAGCAGGACGATCACGGAACAAACTGGAATTGCCCGTGATGAACGTGCCTCCAACATGCCTGGGTTTGGGTTGTACCCATGCAGAGCTGCCGGCTGATGGTGCCTTTCCTCTGGCAGTGCGACCCACCAGCTGACAAATCTGAAGTGTGCAATGGTTAAAACACAGCAAGATTAAATTTAGAGAGAAATTCGTCACCATGAAATGACAATTTACTGAGTGAGCTGAGAGATACTGTCAACTAAAGGCCCTTAGAGACACAGTGGTTTGATGACTCAGCTTTGATCTGGTTAGCCAACTGGCGATCTGGTTGAGTCAGGCCGCGCTCCAGTGATCCGACAGGGTCACGCTAACGGGAGAAATGAAGAACTGAAACTGCCTGACTGGGAATTACAGCAGGAATCTGGGCAAGTGTCTGTCACGGTGCTTCTTGGGTAACACACAAGCGGTGAGGGACCACCAGCACCCTGAGCTTCCCAGTGCTGGTTCCTGCCCAGTTCCAGACCTCCCAGGGGCAACCGTCACGCTGGAGAGGACAACTGCAGCGAGAATCACAAGATGACAAAGCCCCACTAGCAGGGACTGGCAGCACGAGAAATCAAACAGACAAATAAACCAGCCCTTGGGCAGGAGCCTAAAATCTCGTTTTACACAACTGCAGAGGGTTGCCAGCGCTTTGCTGGTTCTGCGGGCACAGGGGAGAGAAAGACAAGAAGAAAGCAAGCTGCTGAAGTTCAGCAGCACTTGTCCCAGCACGGCATGTTGGCTTGCTTCATTTCCATCACAGGGATTGCTTGGAGACAAAATTTGAAGCAGAAGCCATCGGTTTGTCCTGTGTTCCTACAGAGGAGGGGACCAAAAGACAGGTGTCTGCTAGACGAAGCACTCGGGTCCATTCAGACCGCAGAAGTTTGAGGAAACGTGCACAAAGTTCTCACTTTACGTGAAGTTCTGCCTGGAAGTGGCTCACAGCAGATAGCGTTCTGCTGCTGTTCAGGAAGAGTTGCTTTGCATCAAAGCTTTGCAAGTTCTCTGTAGAGCAGGGAAATTCCTCTCAAACTCTTGCAATTTCTGCTCCCAGCCTCTTCGTTCCCCCCCATGATGTCACCCGCATCACTAGGTACCTAAAAATGACCATTTTGGGGGTTCCACACTCAGAACGTTGGTGGCATCTCTACTAATCCCGAATCTTGATCATCTCCAGTTTGCTCAGCAACGCACAGGTCAAGTTTAGAAAATTTTTAGTGCATCCATTTTTAAACTCTGGACATCAATAAATTAAAAAAAGAATTAACCATCAAAAGCCAAGCAAAGACGAACTGAACTGCCAGCTGCAAACCCCACTCTAGCAAACTGAATGCAAACTGGAGGCAGAGCAGAGGAAACTTCCAGCAACAGAAGCATCACAGTCTAAGGTAGGTGATCCTCAATTTGCCCTTAAAACACTACTGTCTGGAGTACAATGCTGTTGCACGGTATTTCTATGAGCTACCTTGTTGGATTTCACCTACGATATGTAAAGGATTTAAAATTTAAAATAATAGAATTTTAATTTATAATTCATTTAGATATATAATTATATATATAATATATTTATATAATTATATAATAGAATTTAATATAATTATTACTTCTATAGCATTAATTGTAGTGTAACTGATTTATGGTGATTTTTTTTTCAAAGGTGGTGTGGCTTTTTTTTAATCTTTTAAAAGCTATAAATTAGATTACTGGCTTTTTTGCCAAGAACACACATTAAAATGATGTGGAGGTAAGTCCCTATGCAGGCTCATGCAGAGAGCCTCTGCCCAGTTACGCAGCAGCAGCCATCTCACGGCGGGTGGCAGCAGGAGAATGGTTTAATTGGAGAGGGGTAGAAAGCTGATCACAGAAACATGTTCACAATACAAAACTGAAATGGAGGCAAGAAAAAACCACCAACCACACATTGGTTACTTCTTGGTGATGCCTGCATTTCTGGGATTTATAATTCTATCTCTTTATTTTCACTTTCTGCTTTTTCTTTAACGCTGATCTGCTGGTTAAAGAAAAACAATACAAAACACCTCCTTACCTAAAGCCTAAGATTAAATGAGATTAAAATTTAGCTGCCAGCTCTGTCTCTGTCCTGCAGATAGGAAACCGAGTTCGCTCTCCTCCACCAGCGCTCCCTCTCTGTGGGCATTTTCACCCAGACCCCACGGAGAGCGCAGATAACGCAGCTCAGTAACCCGACAACGCTGCAAGAGCAGACACGAGGCGAGAAAGACCTAGCTGAACGTTTGGCTTTAGTTTGGCTTCTGTCTAACCCATAAATCGTCTGCAACACGGGGCAGCTCCCTGCTCACAGAGCTGCCCGTACATCAGCCACCACCCCGTACCTCCAAACCCCACGTCGCCGGCGGATGCTGCGAGTGCCATGGGAGAGGAGGTTTTAGTGCTGGAGCAGCACAGCTGGGGCTCAGCTGGAGGCACCCAAGGGAGCTGGTCTCGTTTTTCTCCTGGAAAATGTGAGATCTCCTCATTAGCAGCTTGGAAGCCCTTTGTGCTGGTCATGGCAGGTGCAGTTCGTGCTCTGCGAGGCTCTTCGCTGACACGCTGCTTGTTGCTGCAGGGTGGGAAAGGAGTGAGTAAAGGGGCTGTGGAGCCGGGGTAAGTGACCTTAAAACCCAGCAGCTGGGTGAGTGTGTAAGCATGGCACCCACCTCCCAACGAGGCACCCACCTCCTAACAAGGCGAGGAGCTTGTAGACACTTCACATCTCTGCTGCTGATGGACTGATGCTGGGGAGAATTGAGCAAGTTAATGCCAGCCCAGAATACATCTGCTATGGAAACAAGCTGGCAAACTGGCTACTGCTTTCTTTTTTTTTTTAATCACAGAATGTTAGGGGTTGGAAGGGACCTCTGTGGGTCACCCAGTCCAACCCTCCTGCCGAAGCAGGGTCACCTACAATAGGCTGTAGAGGACCTTGTCCAGGCGGGTCTTGAATATCTCCAGAGAAGACGACTCCACAACCTCCCTGCATGTCAGGACTTCTTCCCATGTCACCCCCCCCCTGCCGAAGCAGGGTCACCTACAATAGGCTGTAGAGGACCTTGTCCAGGCGGGTCTTGAATATCTCCAGAGAAGACGACTCCACAACCTCCCTGCATGTCAGGACTTCTTCCCATGTCCCTAGTCCAAAAATGAGGACAGGAGGGAGTGCACTGACTCAGCTGTAGTGGTGTACATCAGAAAAAATTAAATGAGGTGAGGGATAATATTTTTTCCTGATTTCTGGATGTAAATAAGGACTTCTAGCTCTGCAGGGCATCCTTGTTGGCTGCTCCTTGCTTCAAGTCCTCCAGATTAGTAGGCATTATGGCACTGAATAAAAACCAGCACTTTTCAAGTCACCTCTCCAGTCTCTGTCCGGCTGCAATGAGGAAGCTGCAGAGGCTCTGGCGAAGCCACCGCCCAGCGCCAAGCTGCACAGAGCTGGGGTGACCAGAACATCTTTCTGCCTGTATGCTGAGGGCAAAGCAAGCTGTTTTCCGCAGGCAGATGTGGTCAGCCAGCCACACACAGATGCACACACATCTCTCTGTGGCAGAGCTGCCTCCACTGCCTCGTGCACGGGGAAAAGAAATGGAGGGGAACCAGCCCGAAGCAGACGCTGTGCCAGCTGCCCCACCGCAGCGCGTCGGCCTGCCCTGAAAAGGGAAGAGAGCGTTTCTGCCGCCCCGTCCCACGCTTCCTATTGCGGAGCAGCAGCGGAGCTGGGCGGGAGCCGAGTTTGCACGCGGGGTGTTCGCAGCCGGGGCAGATGCTCAGTGTCCCCAGCGCTGGGCGTGCAAGGCATGTAACAAGTAGGAAAATAAACCACGGGATCTGCACCTACCAAGGTTTCAACTGCAGTGGGGGTTAGGCAAATCTCAAACAAAGGAATTTAGTAGAGACTCTTTAGGATAAAGCACCGCAGTAATCAACAGTCAATTTTTAACTCAAATAAGGAAGTTGTTCCTACCTGAACCAGAGACACCCAAACACTGTTTCTGTTCGGATCTGAAAATGGACAACTACAGTCTGTACAAAGATTAATTTCAGGGAAGAAAAATAAAAAGGGAAGAAAGATAGCTGGGGTGTGGCAGGAGCTGTTGAAGGATGTTGGCATT